CGGGTACAGCGGATGCAGTATACCACATTGGCAGATGTGCAGGTGAACATCTGCTTGATGTGGAAAGTCTTCTTGGGGCCTGGGATGGGGGTGAGGGAGGAGGTATGGGGGCAGGTGTAGCACTTCCTGCGGTTGCAGGGAAAAGTGCCGGGTGTGGTGGAGCTGGAGGGGAGTGTGGAGCGGACAAGGGAGTCACGGAGAGAGTTGTCCCTCCGGAAGGCAGATAAGGGTGGGGAGGGAAAGATGTCTTTGGCGGTGGGGTCGGATTGCAGATGGCGGAAGTGTCGGAGGATGATGCGTTGGATCTGGAGGTTGGTGGGGTTGTACGTGAGGACGAGGGGGATTCTTTTTTGGTTCTTATTGCGTGGACGGGGTGTGAGGGATGAGGTGCGGGAGATGTGGGAGACACGGTTGAGGGCGTTCTCGACCACCGAGGAGGGGAAGTTACGGTCCTGGTTTTTTCCCATTTATACTTCTTACCTCCACCCATATGAATTCTACTTTTCTAATCCAAGATCATTTCTTGCTATCATTGTTATTCCATCCTGTATGAACAATGCTACCCCTCTACTCTTTCCTTTCTGCTTGACTTTCAAGAAGTCACATATGTCTGAACATTTAATTACCAATTGTGATCTTCTTATAACAATATCTCCTTAATTGCTGTAAGACCATACACATTAACTGGTACATGTGCTGTTAATAATTTATTTTGTCCAAAACATTCAAGTAAAGGGCCACCAATTTTGTATTTTTGCCACTTTTCCCCCTTTGATCCTATTTAATGCTATTTCAATCTATGTTTGTACGCTCTAATGAGAATCTACTTCTGATTTAAAACAATTCAAGGACTCTGCTTCTCAGAGCTCTGTAATTTCTCAGCATTTAGACAAAATGCTTCATTTTTAACTCTTTCTGGAAAATGGACAATTTTGTATTTTTCACATTATACTCCATTTACCACAACCTATTGATATCTTTTGCAGTCTTCTTAAGTCCTCTTCAAATTTATTTTCTGAACTGTCTTTGTGTTGTCAGCAAATTTAGCAACCAGACATCCCTTCATCTAAGCCATTCATACAAATTGTAAAGAGTTGAGGCCCTGGCACTGATCCCTGTGACACACTATTCAATACACCTTGCTAATCTATACATTATACATTGTACATTTAAGTCTAGTCACTGTTTCGCGTTAGTTTGTCAATCTTCTATCCATACCATTATGTTACATGCTACACCATGAGATTTTATTTTTGCAATAATTTTCGATAGGGCAGTTTATCAAATGCCTTTTTGGGAATCTAAGTACAATGCATTGTACCTGTTTCCCCATTATCCACAGCATATGTTACTTCCACAAAGGATTCTATTCAAGTTGGTTAAACAAGGTTTGGAAGAATAAGGGCCAGGAACAGGCAGTTGGGTCTAGTTTAGTTTGGGATTATGTTCAGCATGGACTGTTGGACCAAAGTGTCTGTTTCTGTGCCATATGACTCAATGGCTCTATTATACCCCTTTCACAAAATCACGTTGACTCTGTCTGATTAGGTAGATTTTTTTAAAAATGCCATGTTATGCCATCTTTAAGATAGCCTCTAGCATCTTCCCTGTGATAAATGTTGAGCTAAGTGGCCTATAGTTTTCTGCCTCGCCATCTTTTTGAATAAAGGTATGTGTCAATTTTTTGTATTCTGAAATCATCCTTAAACGAATCCATTGACTTATTCCTTTACCTAATTTATCAGTTCACTTCTGCATTCATATCCTCAGTAACTGCCTTTATTTAAGTTTTAAAATACTACACTTGGAGAGAATGAGGAATCAGTGAGTGAATGCAAACAAGAAATGAAAGAGACAGGTGAGTGAATGAATGGAAGTATAAATGGCAAGGAAGGAAAGAGATGGTCAAAAAGGAGAGAGGAAATGAAGGACTTAACAGCTGAACAATTGGTGACAACTAAAATTTATGATTTCCAACTTTATTACACAGAAAATGATCTTATTTAAGATCCAATGCTGTCTCTTAGATGCATTTCCATATATTTTGATTTCAGACTGAGATAAGGAAAGCTTATTTGAGTCCTCAAGGATTTTTAAGTTGTACCAAACATTGTTTGGCTTTGTGCTGTTTATGGCTATGGGCATATTGCTGGAGCATACTTCTTCATCTTCAAGTTTTGGAGAATATGCGTAATCAGGTGAAGCATTTCTCCTATAACACTTCCATTAAGACTGATTTTCTTGCTGTTACTTATGTTGAAGACCAGTCTTTTGTCTAAATGATTTCCAAAAGACATACTAACAGAGATATTCATGTTGCTTCAAAAATGCTTACAAACCAGTTGTAGTGCACTAGCTGTGCATTTAGCAGGTCTATTAAACATTTATGAGATGGGTTCCTTCTAAGCAATTGTGGGAGATCCTTGTCACATCTCTGGAAACTCTGCATGTTCACAACATGAAAATGACTGGTGCTTTGTTTTCTTTCATTCAGTAATTTTGATAATTTTCCTTTGAAAAGCATTCACTTACACATAGCAGCCTTCCAATTCTACAGGACAGCAAAATTTCCATTGGTGTGGGGCATCACTGACTGCAATTGTGACTGTATATACATTGCTTTTACATCCAATTCAAAAAAATTACAGAGGAGTCACTGTTTTGGATCCAATGATATGACCTGTAGCCAGCACCACTTTATCATTCAACAACGGGGTCTCAGAAAATGTTCAGTGATATCTGCACTTCTACCATAGTATCAGTGAAACACAGTTTTGGCATTCTCCACTAATCTGTAGCCCAGTCGATGTCATCAAGTCTATTGAAGTTAGATGCTTCTGACAGAAAAAATTACCTTTCAAAAAAACTTCAGTCATGGGACAGGCAGGAGATAAACAGCAATCACAAGTCAACAAGAAAATGAAGCATGTCCTAAGACAGAGAACAGAAAGAACTCATAAAGAAAGATATAAAGAAAAACAACTTGCATTTATTAAGTACATTGCATATCTTTAGGAAGTCCCAAACATTTCACAGCATATGAATTATTTTCAAAGTGTTTTCACTGATGTTATAAAGATAAACATGTAAGTCACTGTCATGCACAGTAACTCCCCACAAATAGCACTGAGATAAAAAAAGCCGGTTTTTGTGAAGTTGATTAAGAGATTAATATTGACTTAGATACCAAGGGAATTTTTCTTCAAACAAATGCCACAGAATCGTTCTCATCTATTGGAACAGGTTTGCAGGCCTTTGTTAACTACTGAATAGAAAGTTGTACTTTTTTACTCCTATACTGCACTTAGTCAAAGCTAAAATTCAAAATCAATTAATAGCTTTAAGTTGGCTTGCCTATGGATTGATAATTGATGGGCAAATAAATCTACGTACTTCATTAAACTATTATGCAGCAATAGTCTTTATGATTGTTATTTTTTGATGAGACATTCTCAAAATATTTTTCAATATTCAGTATCAGACTACATCATACAATAAAAGCCTATTAATTCAACCTTTCTTACTGTCACAATTCATTAATTCTTTCCCCAGCCACAGATTGGGTACTTCATGTGATAAAGGTCTTTGTTCCGTTGATTTTCATGACTTTGGTCTGTATAACAATCTGTATGACTTGCAAAGTGGACATTGTCCTTTGGTATCGTGATGTATTTAAATCCCACAAATACATTGATGGTAATTACTACATTATTTCATATACTTTGATATATATATATATTTTAAAATGTATCCAGAAAATTCCAGCTTTTAAGAGAAGTTTTTGTATTAAGAACTGTATAATTTCATGTGCAGTTTAAGAAAAATTATATTCTGCTTTTGCTTCCTGTCATGAATGTCTTATGTCTCAATGGGTAGTGACTGTGTCTCTGAGCCAGATGTGCTGGATTCAATTTCCCTAAGACTTGTTATAAAGCATGTTCATTATGCTGTTCAAGCTGATTGATATTTGGTGTGTTGATTCTTCCAAAATTTGCCCAGTTTCCAAAAAAGGCAGTGTGCGTGCATGTGTGTGAGAGAAAATACAATACATAACAACCCAATTTTATAATTTCCCTCCTCTGTGCACAGACCAATTTCTATGATTCCATAACAACAAGCAGAATTTGCTCTGGAGTATGCTCTTCTCTAAGTTTCTTCTTATGTGGACACGTTGTTAGCTCAAACTCATTACTAGGAGAACCAACTTGAAGGAAAGGATTTGTCAGTCCACCTGCATTAGGCACATGTGGTCCACTAGATTTCTAAAGTTAAATACATCTGCTTTGCATAATAATATCTGATGATTCAGGTTTTCTAAATTAGTTGGTATACAATATCAGTCTGAGTTAAAAAATCAAACAACTTGAAATCACAATGTTCGTTTATGCATAAGAAGTAGAATCTATTGCTGCTCTCTGTTCATCTCTGTTACAAAGCAGTACTGAATGATTTAATATTATGTACATCAACTAATATGTAAAATCATTTTGATTTTCGTATTATGCATTGTTAGCTGTTATTTCCCATTTGACAATATGTCAACTAGTGTGTAATGTCACACCAATAGAGTAAAGAAGGAATGGGTGACCACCAGGCAGCCCAGAAAGAACAGGCAGGTAGTGCAGGAGGCCCCTGGGGTCCCACTCACTAACTGGTATTGCATTTTGGAAGCTGATGAGGGTGCTGGTACCTCGGAGGAAGGCACTCAGAGCTAAGCTTCTGGCACCACAAGTGGCTTGATTGTACAGTGGGGAGGAAGAAGAAAGGAGGAGAAGTAGTGATAAGTGAGTCTTTAGTTAGGGGAGCAGCCAGGCATTTCTGCAGTCAATGACATGACTCTGGGGTGGTGAGTTGCCCCATTGGTGCCAGGGTTAGGGATGTCTCTGAACAGCTGCAGGGCATCCTGAAAGGGGATGGTGATGAGTTGGAGGCTGCAGCACATCTTGGTACCAATGATATGGACAAAGTGAGGAATGAGGTCTTGCATCAAGAATGCAGGGAACTAGGCAGTAGATTAAAAACCAGGATGTTCCCAGGGTGGCAGAGTCCAAAACTAGAGAACATCAGTTAAGATGAGAGGGGTAAGATTTAAAAGGGCCCTGAGGGGTAACTTTTTCACACAGAGAGTGGTGCGTGTATGGAATGAGCTGCTAGGGGAAGTGGTGGAGGCTGGTACACTGACAACATTTAAAAGGCATCTGGATGGGTACCTGGATAAGAAGGGTTTAGAGGAATATGGGCCAAATGCTGGCAAATGGGATTAAATTAATTTATGACATCTGGTCAGCATGGATGAGTTGGACTGAAGGCTGTACAACTCTATGACCTCAATGGTTGTAAACTCTGGATTATTCCTGGTACTACGTGCTAGTGAGTTTAGAAATAGGAAAACAGGTCAGATGAATGTGTGGCTCAAGAGTTGGTGCAAGAGAGAGGGCTTTAGAATCCTGGATCACTGGTACCGTGTTTTGGGAAGGTGGGATATGTACAAACGGAATGGTCTGCACCTAACCCCCAATATTCTTGCACATAGGTTTGCTACTGCTGTTGGGAGAAGTTTAAATTAGTCTGACAGAGCGAGGGGACACAGAATATCGATGAAGCAGAGACACATCATGCTACAGAAACGAAAGCCAGTCACAGTGAGTGCAGCTATGTGGAGTGTCAAGAGAGTAAGGCAAGGCTGGATGGTCTTTACTTTAATTCTAGGAGTGTAATAGTAAGACTAATGAGTTAATGGTGTGGATTGACACATGGAAGCATGAAATTGTTGCCATCAGAGAAATATAGTTGAGGGAAGTGCTGAACTGGCAACTCAACACTCTGGGGGTATAGGATCTTTAGGTGAGACAGAGGAGGGTGTAAAAAGCGTGGTGGTGTAGCACTATTAATTAGGGAGTTCATTACTGCAATAAGGAGAGACAATATCTTGAAAGGGTCCTCAAACAAGGCTTTGTGGGTAGAATTTAGGAATGTTAAGGGTGAAGCTACTTTACTGGGAGTGTATTATGGGCCCCTAAAGAGTCAACAGTGATAGACAAGCAATTATGTAGACAGATCAGAGGTGTGAAAGAGTAATAATTGGATAATTATATTAGGGGATTTCAGCTTCCCCAACAGAAGTTGGGATTGTCATAGTGTTAAATGTTTAGAGGGGGCGGATTTCTTGAAATGTATCCAGGGTAGTTTTTTTGTATCAATACATAGAAAGCCCAACAAGGGATGGTGCAGCGCTGGATCTGGTTCTGAGGAAAGAAGCTGGACAAGTGTTTGATATAGTAGTGGGGGAACATTTAGGCAATAGTGACCACAACATGGCACAGTTGAAATTTGTTGCAAACAAGGAGAAAGATGGCCTGTAAAAGACTGCTTTGGCCTGGGAAAAGGCAGACTTTATTAGAATAAAGCAAGATCTGGCCACAGTAGACTGGGAACAGCTCCTTGTGGGTAAGTCTACTGCAGAGCAATGGTGGGGACAGCATTCTAAAAGGAGCTGGGGAGAGTACAGGGCCAAATGTACCCTTTAGCGGGAAATGTAGGAGCAATAAGTTCAGAGAACTCTGGATGTCTAGGACAATTCAAGACTGGATAAAGAAGAAGAGTAGGGCTTTTAGCAAGTCCAAAGAGAGCAATTCAGCTGCAGCTATAGAGGAATACAGGAAATGCAGGAGGGAACTTAAGAAAGCAATTAGAAGAGCAAAAAGGGGGCATAATAAAGGACTCGGAAACAGGATTAGGGTGAATCCTAAGATATTTTATAAATATGTTAAAGGGAAGCGGTTAACTAGGGAAAGAGTAGGGCCCATTAGGGACCAAGGGGGAAACCTGTATGTGAAGCTGCAGGATATTGGAAGGGTGTTAAATGAATACTTCTCATTGGTCTTCACTCTGGAAAAGGAGAACATAGGCACGGATTTCAGGAAAAGGAACTGTGAGGAACTCGCACAGTTTGACGTAGGAAATAGGGAGGTACAGGGGGCTCTGTCAGGCTTAAAAACAGACAAATCCCTTGGTTTGGATGAATTGCATCCTGGGCTGCTGTGGAAGGTGCGGCAGAAAATTACAGGGGCACTGACACAAATTTTTAATTCCTTTGACTTCTGGGCAAGTGCCAGAGGACTGGAGGACAGCTAATGTGGTTCCACTTTTTAAGAGGGGTGGTAGAGATGAATCAGGAAATTACAGACTGGTGGTAGGGTGACTATTGGAGAAAATTCTGAAGAAACGAATTAATACTCACTTTTAAAGGCACAAGTTAATTAGGCATAGTCAGCATGGCTTTGTCTAACAAATTTGTCAGAATTTTTTGAAAATGTGATCAAATGTGTGGATGATGGGAGTTCAGTTGATGTAATTTATGGCAAAGGATTTTAGCAAAGCTTTTGACAAGGTCTCACATGGGAGACTGATTGATAAGGTTAAAGCACATGGAATTGAGGGAAACCTGGCGAGATGGATCAGAAACTGGCTTAGCAATAGGACATATAGGGTAGTGGTGAAAGGCTGTTTGAGTGACTGGAGACTGATGTCCAGCGTTATCCCACAAGGATCAGGACAGGGGATGAAAATGTGGGGGGAATGTTCAGCAAATTTTCAGATGACACCAAGATTGGTAGAGTGGTTAATAGCAAAGAAAATGTTTGTAGGTTACAGAAGGAAGGTATAGATGGGTTGGTCAGATTGTCAGACCAGTGGCAGATGGCATTTAACCCTGATAAGTGCGAGGTGATGCACTTTGGAAGAAGAAACAAGATAAGGGAATATTTAATGAATGCCAGGATACTGGGTAACTTAAAGGAACAGAGGGATCTTGGGGTAATTATTCACAGATCCCTGAAGTCAGCAGAGCACTTGAATAGGATAGTTAAGAAGGTATATATGACATTTGCTTTCATTAGTTGTGCCGTAGACTATAAGAGCAAGGAGGTAATGCTGGAGTTGTATAGAGCATTGGTCAGGCCACAGGTAGAGTACTGTGTGCAGTTCTGGTTACCTCACTACAGGAAGGATGTGATAGCACTAGATGGGGTACAGAGGAGGTTCACCAGGATGTTGCCTGAGATGGAGAAATTGAGCTATAAGGAGAGACTAGACAGGCTTGGATTGCTTTTAGAGCAAAGAAAGCCAAGGTGGGAACAATACTGAGGTGTATAAGATTATAAAGGGCATGGACAGGGTGAATAAAGAGCAGCTGTTCCCCTTGGTTGAGGGGTCAATCACGAGGGGGCATAGATTTAGGGTAAGGGACAGGAGATTCAGAGGGGATTTGGGAAAAGAACCTTTTCACTCAGCAGGTGGTGGGAATCTGGGATGCACTGCCTGGGAAGGTAGTGGAGGCTGGAAACCTTTAAAAAATATTTGGATGAGTACTTCAAAAATCATAACATTGCAGAATATGGGACAAAGGTAAGAAATTGGGATTAACACATTTTTAGTACTAGTTATGCCAGTGCAAACTGGATTGGCCAAAAGGCCTTTTCTGTGCTGTATGAATCTATGAATCACTCTGTTACTGTTATTTTCATCAGCCAATGGTTAATATTAAATGAGTTTAAGATAAGAAGTATTACTTAGTCTTGAGTGTAAAACTCAGACTGGAGCATTAGAGTATTGCACACTTATAACTTCAAATTATATCTTATTGAAAAATAAGTGTGCCATGTTTATTCAATGCAAGCAAATTATTTATTATCAATTAATATCATTATTAATACCTATTTTTCTTCGAACATACAGATGGTAAGATGTTTGATGCATATGTCATCTACCCAAGATGTGAGAATAAAGGTTCTCTCAATAACTGTGGTGCAAACCACTTTGCTCTTCATACTTTGCCGCAGACCCTTGAAGAAAAGTATGGCTACAAACTGTTCATTTCTGGCAGGGATGATCTTCCTGGTCAGGGTAAGATGAAAGAATTTAATCCCTTCCATTGCATATTGTAAATGCTCATTGCAGAATAAAAAGTACTGGCTAGTACTTTCTTTAAAAAATCTTAATTTTAATTTTATTTCTATGTCAGTCCATTGACCGAAAATACAGATGAAAAATCAAACTTTGGTCTAATACCTTATACAGTAGCCATATCGTACCAGAGGTTTATACAATCATGAGAAGCATAGATAAGATGAATAGCTAAGGTCTTTTTCCAGGCTGGGGCAAACTAGAAGGTATAAGCTTAAGGTGAGAGGAGAAAGGTTTAAAAAAGTCCCGAGCGGCAACTTTTTCACACAGAGTGTGGTGAGTGTGTGGAATGAGCTGCCAGAGGAAGTGGTAGAGATGGGTACAATTACAATGTTTGGACGGGTACATGGATAGGGAAGCCTTAAAGGGATATGGACGAAACACAGGCAAATGGAACTCTTTCAGCTTATGAAACCTGGTCAGCATGGATGAGTTGGACCTAAAGGTCTGTTTCTGTGCTGTATGACTCGATGACAGATTGAATTACAGGATGATGGTAATTATTTCAAATTACATCAGAGAAGAAGCATAAATTGGATTATCCCCCTTAAGATTAATATCACATCTGTTCCATTTTATTCAATTGTTAAATATTTCCAAATTATATATTAGCATCACATTAAATAAAAAGTAATGAAATGGGTTTATTCTTTCCATCTACCTTTTCGTTTGGAGGTCGACAGTGTAGCTGGCATAGTGGGGGCAATGTTCTTTGAGCATGGCTTATGCCAATAACACTTTGAGCTGATGTTATGTAATACTACAAAGCTTCAGGATATTTCAGCACTTCATGCTGTGTATTGTGAACACTAAGGAAGCAAGATAGGTTTCTCAGTGCTAGCAGCTTATAACTAAGACCGTGACACCAGGGGTCATCAATCTTAACCGTAACCCTATCTTCCCTGTACTGTCTCCAACCTGACTATCTGTCTCATTCTCCACATCCAGAATTGGATGCTGTATGGTCATCAATATGTACTTAGAGAAAAATAGTGAATTGTTGGAGCTTCTTCTGACTTTGATTTTACTGTTTTGACTATATAGTATAACATTCAATTGCCATTGTTAATGGACATCTACTCTGCATTGAAAGGAGCATTGAGCATTGTGCCTAATAAGGCTATTAGATCTACATAAACTTTATTCTTAACTATTTCATCACCATTATGACAGAGTTATGTTTCCATTGGATTTGAAATATTTCACAGTTGTTCACACAAAATTTCATCAGCAGTTGTTTGATCAGTTCACATATTTGTCAGCATTATGTTGAGTCCTTAAATTCTACAACACATTGTAATTTGTTGTCATCTACAAATGTAGCTGATTTGTATTAAATTTCAGAATCCAAATCACTGATGCATATTAGAAACCATAGTCATCTCAATTCTGAGCTGGGACACACCACTTAGGACTTTCCTTAATGATGACATCTCCCTTTAGGTCTAGTACTTCTATGTTTAAGTGATCATGTGACCTAGGAGGGAAGAGGCACATAGCCTCCACTTGATGTAACTGTACACTGCAGGTTGGGAAAACGAGTAACATTCCTAACTTGTTTAAACTGACCCTGGAAAATAAAAAGAAAAGACAATATGAATCTGATATGTTCAAAATCTGGCTGGAGGGTGTTGCTCATCTCTGTCACAACATTTCTGATAAACTGTCATCTCTACAACTTGATATTTCTAGATGATATTTCCACCTGTTTATGTATTGATAACATATCAGTTGTATCATTTTGAACAGCTAGGGTGAATATATATTTGCTTTGCCTGCTTCCTTTACCTATTCTCTCTTTGTTCAGAGAGACTTGGAGGTACTTGTACAAGGAACTCATGGAGCTAGCTGACAGGAATAGCAAGCCTTTCTTTTGCAAGGAAATTGGAGTTCAAGAACGAAGAAGTTTTGCACAATTATATAGGTCCTTGATGAGACTACACTTGGAGGTGTTTGTGAAGTTTTGGTCATTATCTGAGAGAAAATATACTTAATTTGGAGGCAGTATCACAAACCTTCCTAGATTGCTTCTAGGAATGTCAGGGTCATCTTCTGATTTGAGGTTGTGTAAATTGGGTCTGAATTTTCTGGAGTTTGGAAGAATGGAATGTGATTTCCTTGAAAGATGATTCTGAAGGGGCTAGTCAGGGTGGGTACCCTGGTCTCCCCTGATCGGGAGTCTAGAGCAAAAAGGCATAGCTTAGGGTCAGGAATGAAATATTAATTAGGACTGGGATGAACAGCAATTTCTTCAATCAGAGGGTTCTGCATCTTTAGAATTGTCTGCTCCAGAGGGTTGTGAATACTCTTTCAGTGAACATATTCCAGACTGAGATTGATGGAGTTTTGATCTCCTAAGGCATCATGTGGTAGGGGGAACAGGAGTGTGGAGTTGAGGTAGAAAGAAGGCAGTCGTGATTGTAGTGAATGATGGAGCAGGTTCAAGGATCTTCAAGATATACTTCTGATCCTATTTCTTAAGTTCTTATGATCTCACAAACTTGCTACTACAGATGTATGCTCAAGAAGATACCTATAATTGCTATGTAAACTAGAGACATTTGGTACAGGAGAGCTGGAGGAGAGATTGCAAGATCCCACACGCTTAGAGATCCCATGACATAGCCTGGGCCAGAGGGATACATTATGTGATTCAATTTCATGACCATCTTCTTGATGTCTAATCGATTAATTGTTTTTCTATTTTAAAGGCATCTATAAGGTCACCTTTCTGCCTTTTCTAAAGAAGGAGCCTCAACTTGTCTTCCTGACAGATCTAACCAATCAGTTTGTGTTATCATTCTTTTGAAGTGTATTTACATTTTCCACAATACAAATTCACAACAAGGGACCAGTGAAAGGTGAATGAGAGACTGGCAGCATTAGTAGGTATGTGAGGGTCAGCTGACATTTTGGTTGAGTCCCTGAATGTCAGGGACTGGTACTGGATGAGTTACTAGATTGTGTTGTATTGTGCAACAAAGTAGAGTAGTGGCAGGATTGGTATACTGTCTGTCTCAGAGATACAACAATGTATACATAGAGGATATACAGCCAAGACATTTAGGTCTCTATAAAACACTTTCCACAGCTTGCAAGATATCCAAAATATTATTGCAAATAAATGAATAGTAAGAAATATTACAAATTAGTTATGTTTACATGATTCCTACCCTATAGTAAGCAACTGTTAAAACCCCCCTTCCATACAAGCTATCTTTTTGGTATCTGAGATCAATCCCTGTTGTCAATCTTTTCCATTTCTTAACTTGCCATTTTAACAAACAAAATAAGACTATTACAACGATCACATGAGACACAATTCTGATCCATGGATGGACCTGAGAGTTCAGTCCCCAATTCTAAATTCTACTCCAGAAACTTGGAGCCTGCAAATCCCTATCTCGCTCTTCTGCTTGAGTTTTAATCGCCTTCTTGTGCATCGTCCATTTATGGATAAGTTCCTTTGCTTCAAAGATAATCTTCACCCAAGCTACAATGAAGTGTGGAATAAGTGGAAGTTCCATAGCTACGAATCGGCTTAAATTTCCAGCTGTATAATTTGGGTGGATGGATTGAGTTATGCACAGTTTCCCATTGGGTTCTGGTTATAACAGAATTCAGTGGCTAATGGTTAAGTCAGAAAAGATATTGCTGATTGCCACATTCTATTCATCTGAGGCAGACCATGTCCCTCCTTTTCGGTATCCTGAGGCTGCCGTGGCAATATAGTAGGTGTCTCCTACTAAGGCATTCTTAAGAAAAGTTTGGTTATTCACAAACAGGATAGACAATGAGCAGTTCTCATAGGAGGCCAATCCAAATTGGGTTAGCACTTTCTTGATCATTTCTTCCAGATATGCCCAGTTATTTCACTCTTGATTGCATTGGGACACATCCACCCTCCATTTAGGTCCCTCTAGAACTATAGCATGGATTGTTGGGTTACTTAATGATATCAAAGTTCCTTCATGGTATTTACACACATTATGAGTGCACAGTAGGGTGTGTGTTACATTATTCCCATATTTGGGTATATGAAGCACTGCACCAATGTAAAGCTGACCCTTATTATCATCACAGGTGCTCAAGACCTGGTTGGTGAGAATGAGGCTTCTGAGGTGACATTGGGGCATCTCCTCTCTCACCCACCCATGTCCCCAGTTACACATCTGACACCCAATCTGGTACTCTATGAGCATCTAATTGCAACATATTTGTGCTAACCATAGACAGAAGCCAGCTAATATATGTTGATCAGATGTCACTTTATTACTGCATGTTACCTCCTAAGGCATCTATAATCTGGTTGGTAATATCTTGAAGGGGTCTCAACACGTTGATGGTAGTCAGAGCTAGCTGTGTTGCTTGTTGACCTATCCTACCCACTTTTTCTTGATCTCAATATTCCTGACCTACTATTATCCTCATCTTTTCCTGGAGGGAACTTAACTGAGCCTATAATTCTGCTATGTCAAGGGTCGCTACACCTGACACAGAGTCTGCTCCTGCTAACTCTATCAACCCTTTCTTCCTCTTTTTTCTTTCCAATGTGAATTCACAATGACTAAATTGTCTTTGGGAAAGGTGGTCAAAGAACTACGGGGTTGTTTTATTGCAGCAGGATGGCACCTGTATGTCCATCAGGTTAAACACTACATGTAAGTGTCTATATCCTGGTACAAGAGTAACTAACTCTTCTGCTTCATCTCTGCTCCCCATCTATCTCCCTGAGATTTGCTACACACTGGCTTTGAGGTAGTTCCAGGGGTTGCGATACACATATTGCTCAGGTTGCTCTGGTCCCACGATGCCTGGTCTGGGTTCCAAAACTGGCCCCACTTTAAGTTTCCTAACTCTGGGGCATCAGATTCTTCCAACATTATATGTAAATGATAATTATCCTGCTCCCCTTCCAAATGGTTTTAGCTGTTTAATAT